TTACTGTTATTTAGTTTGCTTTCACTGTAATTTATTTTTTTATTATTTAGGGAGCATTATAAATAGATATGTTTTTTAAAAGAAAAAACTACTATTGTTATAATTGAACTAAACTATGCATGCCTATTTAAATATATTTACACATGGCTTGTGTATATCGTATATATACATATATATTATTCATACCTTCGGTGTATAGGACGCAAGCAGATTTTGACATCAAATTTTAGGGGTAAAAAAGTGCGAAAAATGCGGTAGTTATATTCCAACATGCTCATAGTGATACTGGTGCTTGGACCACATTAGATGATGACCATAAATCCAAGAGCCGGGCCTGAGCTTTTTGGGTAATGGTGTATTTCCCAAATAAAGTTTTGCTTACTTTTTAAGTACTGTAATGATTAACACTGCAATATTTGATCAGTGAGGGCCTCGAATCAAACTTTCACAGATCCTAAAGACTTAGGCCAGAAATGCCGATATCGACATTAAAAAAATATTTTTTACTTAATTTTGTTTATGTTTTTCACATTTTAAAGTATTTCAAATATACTGTCTAGCTTTGTATTTTTATCAAGATTGATGTGTGATAAAACAAACATTGAATGAAGCGGAAATTGCTTTATCATCATGTATGTATGTAACTGGTTTTCTTCTCATGACTACACCAAATATTTCTATATCTACATGGACATATTCGAGATAAAACTTGGTGTAGTCATGGGTCGAAGAATAAATACAGAGGTTGAGTGCTTTATATTAAAACAGTTTTGGAGCCTCACCACATCGTCACAGTCCGTGTCGCTACGTCTGGTCATGCTATGTCTTACAACTGTGTATCTTGAAAATAGTCTTGCAGCGTAATTTTCATTGTGAAAGGATCCGTCATATGGCTGTTATGTTCAAAGCAGGCCCGGCATGGTTCGGTGGTTAAGGAGCTCCACTTGCAATCTGCGGGTTGCGGGTTCGAATCCCTGTCCCACCAAACATGCTCGCCCTTTCAGCCATGGGGGCGTTTTAATAATACGGTTGGTAAAAGAGTAGCCCAAGAGTTGGCGGTGGATGGTGATGACTAGCTGCTTTCGCTCTATTCTTACACTGCTAAATTAGGGACGGCTAGCGCAGATAGCCCTCGTGTAGCTTTGCGCGAAATTCAAAAACAAACAAACAATGTCCAAAGCACAACACTTCCCCCTGCAGTGTTTCTATAATTCATCCACTTTACGAGGATGACAGTTTCCCAACACCCTTACAAGAGTCTGATCGCACAAAAATCCGGAATGTCTTCGTATGGAATAGAATGAATACCTGTTTCATTCTCCAGCTGCTTGAGGTATGCTACGATTAAACAGATGTGTCATGAAAGCAACTTGTATACACATGACCTGTGTCACTTTTTCAAACGCAGATCCTTTTTTATTATGTTGAGTACTGTTACCTGGGCAATGTGTACAGCTTTTATCAGCGATGTTCCCCCGTGTGACAGCGTTAAGTCTACGGACTTACAACGCTAGAATCAGGGTTTTGGTTCCCCTCGGTGGACACAGCAGATAGCTTGATGTGGCTTTTCTACAACACACACACACACTTTACCATTGACCTTTGTTTTCGCGAATTCTTATATTCACTTTGCTTACTAAGGCTTGGAACCGACTTTGATTTCCAGAGCCATTTAATACAAGAGATATTCCCGTCTTGGAAATTCTAAACACATCTTTATGATTTGAGTGTAAGAACTTTTACCGACCCTTCTCAAAAGCAATAAAATTTTGTGGTATCACACTACCTACACAACACCAAACATGTCAAAATGTAGCTCTGATACATTCCGTTTCACCGCGACGTTGTATCGACTGTGGCTATAACATACTTTGCTGATTTGAATATGTAAGCTCGTTTTAATATAACGTACTCAGGTCTCTGTATATCATAGAATAAATTATATGTAAAGCCTGGTTTCATTCCATTTATAGACATAATTTAAACACATACAACAAAATGCAATACCGAAGACGTAAATTATATAAAACGTCCAACTGTTTACCATCTACCTTTCACGAAAGTTTATATGTATTGAAAAGGGAACATATATTCTTTCTGGAAACTAACGTTAGTGTACTTCTCTTCACTAGTTTCACGATCGTAAACTATTTATACACATACAACTTTAAAGTATCACAGAAAGCCAAAACACCAAAATATGACCATGACAGTCACGCAAGTCTTAAATTACCCATGAGTCACGAGAAAAAAAATTATTGTCTTGAAACACAAATGTTACATAATCTTTGAGTCAAGAGTAAAATCTGATTACTGTCTTTCAATGAAAATGTAACATAATCCAAGAGTCAATAGTAACATCAAATTATTGAGTTTATAAAATCTTACTTAATCCATGAATCAAGAGTAGGATTAAATTATTACAGTGAAACTAAAATCTTACATAATCCACGAGTCTAGAATAAAATCAAATTACTATCTTGGAACGAAAATTTTACATAATCCATGAGTCACGAATAAAATAAAATTATTGTTTTGAAACGAAAACTTCACATAATCCATGAGTCACGAATAAACTGAAATTATTGTCTTGAAATGAAAACTTCACATAATCCACGAGCCAAGAGTAAAATAAAATTACTGTGTTGAAATTTCGACTGTTATCGATTTTACAGTTTTCGATTTCAGAATACAATAAACTGATTTTCTAGTGACATATTTATGTACAGTGCATTATTGTTTGTGTACGTTTCACTCCCAACCTTTTATAAAAGTATTATACTCGCATCTGCAGTAAGAAAGTATTAGGGGAAAAATTATCTCTAAATAAAAAAGCTACGTAGGTTTGGCTACTGGACTTGAAAAAAGGAACCAAACAAGATAGGGATGGAAGTGGACATACCACTTGATCGACTGATGATCACATAGCAGACTAAGCCGCCTCGACTTTTCATGGAAAATTCCTACATTACCGGCTATGTGATCATTACTAGGTTATAGAGTGTATTCTAAAGCTTTAGAAATTTTGCATAGAATAATAATAAAATAGGTAGTCAAAGACCGTGAAGACTGTTTTGCCCTATCAAATGATGGTAAAATTATAGTTACTGCTAGAACAAGATAGGTGCTAGGCCTGTTGAAGAAAGATGATGATGAACGAAAGTAAGAAATCTCGGTTTCAGCTATTCGTCGGTTTTCGACTTTTGGACGTTCTAGATAGCTGAAAAGCGGCAAATACACCGGTAATAGAGCGACTATGCCAGGTAGCTCTTCATATCTAACCTCTGATAACCTGTAAGTGTATTGTATTTTTTTTTTTACTCCTTCACTTCATACATAATATAGGATTGGGCTTCTTAAAAGCACCGATTGCATATTGTACAAAGGTTTGAGTATTCTACAAGTTACAGTCATCTAATGTCCATCTATTATTGGCTGGTAACTACTGTTTCGCCCTGTAATTCAGCTTTATAAAGGAACACCAGATTTCTGTAAGGGGTAATAACATCTTTTGCTCTAGAAGTATGATTTTTTTATCTTTTTTATATATTTTGGATAGAATAATAATAAAATAAGTAGTCAAAGATCGTGAAGTCTGTACCGGAGATAGAGCGACTATGCCAGGTAGCTCTTCATATCTACAGTCTTGGCCAAAATGTTTACATACTATTCTATATTGATGTTATTGTCTATATGAATAGAGTAATTACTGAGTAACTGCCAGAGTAGTAACAGAGAAGGTAGCGTATAATCAGACAAACCTGTACGAGTTGTTATTCTGGTCTGTATAAGTTGTTTTGAACATTTGTTCGTCAAAACACACATACACATCTGTTTTGCATAAAAGGGTGTGCCTTTGGTACAATCTTTTTCAAAACAGATCAACGCTTTGTTTAGACAATTTCTCTGTACTTGGTGTAGAGTCATGCCTCGTCATGTGCCAGAAGTTATGTTCGACTGTCCAGAAAAGGTATGAAACAAATGGACATGAAAAACCGAATGATTTTTGTATTGCTTTAATACGATTGTCCGTACCATCCATACACAGAGAGTGCTAGCACACTCTCTGATAAAGTCTTTAAAATATATCTTAATATATTTAAAAACAGGCTTCAAATCGAATTATATCAATTACCTGTAGATATGTCATGCTCATAATAATTTTTGAAGTTCGTGATGATATTTCAATAATTTACACGTTGTCAAAAAATATTATTGTCATCGGGACGGTTGAGGTTTAAGGATGGTTTTAAGTTGTGTTTTATTGGATTTCGCGGAAAGCTACTCGAGGGCTCTGCGCCAGCCGTCCCTAATTTTAAAGTGATAAACGAAAGTCTAGAGGTAAGGCAACAAGTTACGAACACCTACGCTCAACTTTTTGGCTACGCTTGACTGATAGAATAGTGGGATTTGAACGTCACTTTTATAACGCACCTACAGTCCCGTTTTTTTTTGTTTTTTTTTTTCCGACAATGGCTCACGAGCCACGAATCCCCGTTTCACAGTTGGGGCTTGCCGATTACTAGGCCACTTTGAAGTTTGAGTACAACGCATAGAAACGCTGCTAATTATCATAACTCTTTTGAATCAAAATGAAAAGTGACATGTACCGTATACAGTGGACTTTATTCTAATTTATATGAAAAACACGGGCCCTAAACAAGTACACTATATTTACATAAAAGTAATAATCAAATCAAGATGCAGGTTTACTGTCATTCCATTACAGTTAGCCAAAATTAAATATTTCTGAAACGCCACTCGTTTAAGATTACATATTTTATAACTTACATACAAATTACAATTAAATCCACTCACCATACATCCCGAGAAGTGTTTGTTCAAAAAAAGAAAAAGACAAACGTTACAGGAAACTTATTCGTACATCAAACAAGTCCATCTATCATCAGAAAAATATTTCAATTTCCATCACATTTCCGGGACATCAATTAATAGAAATAACACGTAAATTATAAGGAAAACCTTGATATTTGAGAACACTGAACGCCAACCACAAACGCAGCACCCTCTTTCGTCAAAATTAACGCTCCAACTAAACACATTGGCCTTCTTCCCAAACACGTAGATTACAAATAGAAAGTATGATACATACGGACATGAAGCGGCCTCTTCTTTCCTGGTAAAGAAAACCTTGAGATTACGAAGGTTTCTTCGGCCCACAATCAAGGTAAGCGAGATATAAAACGTTCGATTACGTTATCATGAAACTATTCCTGCCAATCAAATAATTACACCATATCAAACTATCAGTTCATACTAAAGCTGTGTCATACATTTCATACACATACAGTGAAAATTCGTTACTTACCACCTTGTAAATACTTTCATAAAACTGTACTTGGAGGAAAACACTTTAAAACTAAAAATAAACCCCTTCAAGTGGTATTTTTACTCAGCTATCAACCAGTGCAACTCTAGATGGCAGCACTTGGAAGGAAGTGCGATGGGATAGGTTTTCTTTTAAAATCATAAATTTATACACAAGTGCCAAAATACTATAATTAGGTTTTCTTTTGTTTATGTCCTCAACTTTTTAAAACTTCATAGTGAAAACATAAGATGTTCAAGGTACTTATACTATGTGATTAGTTATGTTATTAATTCTTTTTGGTTTTTTATTTTTACAGTATCTTCACAATAACTTAATTTTATAGAATAGTCAGCGTAAAAGTTTGTTCCATAATTGTTGCTGTTTGCGATATGTTTATTAGTGTGTGTGTGTGTGTTTATATCACATATTCTCTTTCTTTGTAAATGCACAAATATTGTGAATAGACATTGTATGTCGAATAATTCAAAACTACACAATTAATCTGGATTTAACTCTAGTGGTTACCATGTCCACACTGTGGAACCGAGGGTTCACAGTTTGCGGGTTGTTGACTAACAAAAGCGCTTCTTACTTTGAAGCTGTGGGTGAATTACAACAGTGATAATCAAGGCGCACTATTTTATCAGACAAGAGTAGACCAAAGTTTGACGTGGGTGCTGTTAACTAGCTGCTTACCATCTGGTCTATAAGTTCAACTTAGTGACATTTACGCGCAGGAAACTTATTGCGTAGTTTTGCATACAAATTCGGGAACTAATTTACACATTAATTGCTAAGGGCAATTTTGTACGTTTCTTGGAGTTCTTTGTTATTTAATCTTAAGCTATGTATGGTATTCACCAGTATATCCCGTTTCAAGTGTATCGTTAATTATGAAATACTCTTAGTTTGGAGCTCGTGAATGAGACTCATCATAAAATTACTGTTTAGTTAAAACAAAAAGGTAAACGGAGTTTTAGAACCCCCAAGTTTTGAAGAAAAATTTATCATTCGAAGTTGATACTGTTTCTGAATGTTGCTCCATTCGTTTTATGTCAAAGTATAGTTATTATCGTATTGTCCATATCTTTTCCGAATTTTGACTTGCTTACATTCTTTGCTCAAACAGTGACGCCCTCTAATGGCACAGCGGCAAATCTGAAGGCTTATACGGCTAAAAACCTAGTTTCCATACCCGTAGTGTGCCAGCACAGATCACACATTATGTAGCTTTGAGCTTAACTACAAACAAACAAATGGTGATAACATCCCTTAAAAATTTTCAAAGCAAAATTGAGATGAAAAATAAGACCTGTATCATAATTAATAATTAATACTTCTAACAAGACCTAGTTTTCGTATTTCTGTGTGAGATAGTGCAGTAATAATCCATAATTCCAGGCCAAATGACTTCTTATATGGTAAGTATTAAAGTGTCGAAAAAAAACAACAAAGAATTTTAATTAAACATAATTAAAAACTCAGTTTAATAGTGAAGGTCGAATACATTTATAATTGTCATATGATATTAGTATTATCACTATTGTATTTTTAAACACTACATTCTTTACCTAGTTCCTTGGGGATTTTCTAGAATTAGAAGAGTGTACAATAATATTATTCCAACCACACTATTATTCGTCATATCCATTGCCGGCGACGCGTTTCGCTCAATCCAGACTCTTCAGACCGGCTGGGATACAACAAACACAGTGATCGGAACAGTTTTATGTAAGCCATTTGTTACAATAACAATTATTATAAAAGGCGTTCCCACCATAACAATTGTTGTCGTGACAAATGTCATTTCTAAAATTGTTCACTTTCCAAGCCACATTTGAGTAATAATAAGTCAGCTGGTAAGTATTTAACCACTTAAAATAAACCACTCATTCCAGATTAATCTTTTTTGTGAATTACATATGCTTTGTATAACCACTTGGACTCGAGACTTTCTCGTATCCAGATTTACGCGCGTGGAGGAATGCTTATGCAATTTTGAGACATTCAACTATCGCTTCCAATAAAAAAAAAATCGTTTGCGAACATACTGTTGGCTGTCACTTTGAACAGAACTTTAAACTAGAAATTAACTTTGCCTATATTAGTTTTATGCGACGAAAAAACATTCACTTGTTAAACAAATCAAACTTAATATAAATCAAAATAATTTTTAGTATGTGACAGAGCTAGTGGTAATTACAAACAGGAGCACCATGGCAACCATTGGATATTCCAAACACACCAGTTGATTAGGCATGTTTACAGTTGTTTCTGCTGTGTTCTTTTTATTTTTTACATTTTTATTGCATTTCGGCTTCCATCTGATATATATAAAACACCTTAGACTATGGTGGTGTCATCTGTTGAAAAACAACAAACAAAAACTCTGGGTTTCTAATGTTTCGGTCTCTTCAATGTGGATGTCATAGCCTGATATTTCACCTTTAATACTTACGAGTTCTTGTCCATAAAGTAATAGTTGGAAATTTACTGAATAAGTTTAGACCAGAATTTATCTCGCTGCAAAGTTTCTGTTCTTCTACGTATTATCTGTCTATAGCTACAAGTGCCTGTGTAATTCCACGTTTTAAATCACGTAAAACAACAACAGCAAAACACTTAGGACCTTTCATTTTTTGAGCAGTTACATCCCAATAACATTTTATAGCTAGGATTTGATTTACTTACTTTGTAAATTCATTTTTAACCGTTTATCTATGATGAGTTGAATACTGGCAGACAAAGATAGGTATGTCTAGAATGGGAAGTGAAAAAATGAATTATTTAGTGTTGCTGTAGCAGCCTTGAAATAAAAACAGTATTGCTAATGAAATTTCCAGGATATGATGCACATTGATGTATTTTACAGATACAACTGACGACTTTTCACGTTTTGGTGACGTGGTAAACGTCGAAACATGTAGAGTCCACATTCTAGAAATGTATTGAACTGTGTGTCGATTTTCACGTTGTGTGTTATATATTTATGATTCTAACATTATACACAACTGTCAAGAAAATACTATATATACTTACTGTTATTTGAGAGGGCCTGAGTGCCACATTACTAACGGTGATTGGTTTATTTTGATATCAATGCAAAACATTCTTTATCTAAAAAGAGGTAAGTTAAAATATGTTTTATTTTGATCAAAGTATTTTAAGTTAAACAAGCAAAATTGCTTTAAAAATGTGAATATATAAAAAGTTCTGGATTATACTTGGTCATGTTTTAAAAACGGCTTTGTTTACTCTTGTATACATAGACACACCCATTCTACTAAAGTTCTGGATTATACTTGGTCATGTTTTAAAAACGGCTTTGTTTACTCTTGTATACATAGACACACCCATCCTACTATGATTACTAAAACAATAACCCGTTTAAGATACAAACCTAAGTCAGTTCTCTCTTGCTGGTTTTCCTTCTTTTCGTTATTTGACACTTTTCTAAACAACCACATTTCGCACGCACATAAAAATCGTTCTTCTACAACAAATTACACCTTTTCTTTAAATTCTTAAGTTGTGCATAGCAGAGAAACACGACATGACATACGGTTCAGATACGAGTACTTTCGACTGCATTGCTTGATGACGATTGCTCTTTCAGGTTAGGTTCCACTTGGTTATCAAGATACTGTTTTCTAATGGCTATAATTTCCTGGACACATGGAACAATAATAATGAATGCTGCCGCTATAAAGGCCCAACCACGAGATATAGAAGTCCAGATGAGGAAACCCGATGAGTCCAGAAGTTTTACGGCTGCCATCGCCCCTGGCCAGATGAAGATAAATAACAGAACCAGCAAAAAACCTACAACATAAGCGATACTTCTGGCTGTCTTAAAGGTTTGCACTACGGATTCTAGAGAGGGACGGTCGTGGTATTTATCTTTAGGCTCTATTGCTAAATCTTCACGGTAAATAAAAGCCCAAGGATTTAAGGGGTTATCTATGTTCCTAGTTTTCTCCCAAATGTTTTTTTCTTCTACCTCAGACAGAGGTTTCGATGTAGCAAGTGAAACGGCAATGCTCAATATGCCACCCATCCCAATGGATATCAAGTTCCCCACCAACATTGGAAGATCCTTACCCGTATTCGATAAAAAATTCCCCAAACCTCCAGAATAGGTAGAGGCAGTGGCAAGCCAAGAAGCCACACCAGATATACATCCTCCTATAGCCCCCACCATCATTCCCTTATCATTCATCCGGGACCACAAGACAGATAAAGTGATTGGGATCACTGTTGAACTGATAAGGATACCCATGAAGAGATAAGTCCAAGATAGGTTCAGGTTGGCAGCATAACAGAGCAAGAATAGTGGGATAATCATAATGGTTGTCCACACGATACACCAGTTCTTGTAGCGAAGTAGTTTTTCCTGATATTCTCTATATCTGTTGTGGACAGGACAGGTAAAATGTGGTTTCACTAGCGACTTACAGTGGAGACGATTAAAAGTGTCTCTTTGACAGTCACTGCAGGACATCATGCTTTTGCACTGACAATATTCTTCTACCTTAGAACTCGGTTGAGAAGACATGTACACCTTTCCACATATGATACACTGCTCGTCCATCACATCTGATCTGTGAGCAATCAATGAAAAACATGTTAAACTTCTGTATGATTTTAGAAAACAACTGTAAGGAAAAGAGAAAGAATTCTATACAAAAAAGTGCTGTCTGTCCCAAACAACTTCTAGAACCAAGAGTGGAATACGCACTTATTGCACCTGAAGATTACAAGCCATCTTTAATACTAGGTTGGATATTACTGAAAATATTACAGTAAATACAACAAACAGAATGGTATTGAAGTACTACAATATATCATTCTCCAACACATATTTCACATCTTCACATTTTTGTATTTCTCTGAGTTATGATTTGAAACATCCTAAATCGGCTCGATGTCGTGTGCTACATTCTGCCTTAGGTATTGCTTTTTACCTTTCTGTAGCATGATTCAGCCAAGAAAGTTATCTGATCTTTGGTGGGATATAGTTACTTTTTATTTTATTATATATAAATTAGATTCACCTTGTGTATGTGGGACGGATCTACGCATATCACATGGAAAGAAATTACTCTTAATCATTTGTGTATGTGGGACCGCTCTACGCATGTCACATGGAGAGGGATGGTTCCTAATCCTTGCAATCCAATTGGTGATTAGCCAGCCATAGAGATAATGTGTATTATGAGAGTAGTTTTAGTGCTTTTGTGGAGACCAACTTCTGCTTTGAAAGGGGCAAGACATGTTGTAAAGTGTGACTTTTTAATTCAGGTTCTTTATTGTGTTTGTTAACCGTGCGTTACCATATTTTAGTTTCACCATTATCCACATGGCAGACATGCAAGACAAACATGGAAAGTAAAATATACAGCACTTAGTTATGTTCGCCAAATATTTTTTCCCCTTATGCATTTTAGAACCTATCGTTATGCGGGGTTAGTATATATATATGTGTGTGTATTTTTATCCATCTAAACCAGGAATTATACACAAACAAATGGCTTGTTTAAAAATGTGTTGATTGTTTCCGATTTTAAAAATAGATTTATTTACAGAAAACTAAACAATAAAAACAAACACCCCTAATGAAACATTTGATCAAAGATTTTGTATTCTTTGGATTTGTAATAAATTCCTAAAAAATAAGATAAAAGTAATATTCTTCAGAATCTCATGACAAGTAGATCAAAAATGGAGTTTACGAGTTAAGATTTACCTGAACGGTTCTAGATAAACTTGATAGACATCATAGATGACAACAGAAGCTACAGCTATAACCTCGGCTGAGCCAGTGGACATAACGGCCATCAGGATTAGGAAGATCATAGCGTATTCTCCAGATGAACCTAGAACAGTCTGTGCTACAACAGGTACCACTAAACCTGAAATTAATACAATCCGGGCTATTAGTGAATCATAATGTAGCAGATTACTGTTATCGATCATGCTATTCTCTCTGTATTTAATGTACAGAAAGCGGAATGGACTTGGTTTTTCTTCGGAAAACATCAGTTAAATCATTAAGACTAGACAGTGTATCTAAAATAACACTAAACTTTTATTTCTCTTAGTAAGCCAGTGAAACGTCGATCTTCATTCATAGCTCTTCTTATGCAATTGTTAATATAAATAGCGTCTCGACCACTACCATGTCTGTCGTATCCCAGCCGACATAATCTATTTACATACTACTAAATCTCTGATTGTTTGTTTGTTTGTTTGCTTGTCTGTAACTAAACACAGCAAAAACGGCGCACAATAGCGCCATATTTGTAATAAAATGAGAATAGAAACAGATTAAAAGAAGTTTTGTTAAAATTGGGCCACGGGTTACCAAGTTAGCGCCGTTTTACGGGTCACTTTTATGAAAATTTCTAGCATGAGTAATTTTACATCACAGTACCGTTCGCGCTCTTTACAAAATTTCTTCGTTCAAATCTATTTCCCTGTCAATGTTCCCAGCTTCTTTGAAAAATGAAATGGTCTTTCCTTTTACTCCAGATCAACAATCACATATTTTTTCTTGAATTATGAATAACACGAATGGTTTGAAATATTTAATTATCTCAAAATAAACCCTCATTTCGGTGCAATATTGAAATTAGCTTGAATTCTTCATAACTTCTGAATAGTGGGTGACCCAACTGGTCACGGGTGGTCTAGTGAACTCTAAAATGTAGGCGAAAGGCCTCGTCGGCACTGAATACAACAGATATAGAGCGGTTGACATTCTTCTATATTTTCACCCACAAGTTCTTATAATCACCAATGTAGTCTACTCCCGTTGACGTTGCGGCCACTTGACCCGCTCTGGGATCAAAAAGACTATCTTACTGGTTCGCCAGTTTTTTTCAATGGTGAGTAAAGGTTAATTCAAATGAAATATATAATAATAAAAATGAACAATCTGATGTTCAAATAAATAAGTAATTTGGTGTTAATAAAAACCGTAAATTTAATTGGGATGTATAATGACTTAAGTAAAACTGATAAATGTTACAGTTCACCAACTTAATCTAGTTCACACCGAAACGGTTGTTATTTAACCAGTTTATGTTATAAACAGCGTCTCGACCAGTACTATGTCGTATCGAAGCTGGTCTGATAAGTCTTAGTTTGGGAGAAAGGCCTCTTCGGCATTAGATATGGCAGATGTAGTGTGACTGACATATTATAACGCTTTTCTTCATTTACTTTTACTCATAAGTTCTTATAATTACCTTTATCTACATCTTCAGGCCCCAGCAGAGGTTGACCCTGACTGCTACTCAACGCTAAGTAGGCTAGGCCTAGGGTCGTAGCTAAGGAGAAAGGGATAGCGAACCAGGTCAGTCCTCCGAGGATAAATCCCCATACGCCCTACATATGGTGAAACAAAGAAGACCCTATTACCTTGTTATCCAACAATTTATTTTGACGAAAGAATATACTCAGAATATATCTGTATATGTGTGTTGCTGTTTTCTGAGAGTTGGGTTCTACTAACTTGTTGACACAGTACACTTTTTGGCAGTCATAAATAAAGAGTTATAAGGTCAGCAATTTTGATGAAAATTTATTCATTGTTTATAAATATAAACACATTTAGCATATTTCGACTAAAGAACGCACGTGTTTGAACAGTTATAAACAGTGGTTTTAATCTGTAAATAAAATGTTTAGTATATTTGTTGCTTCCTGGTGGCTCTGCAGTAAGTCAGAAAGCTTATGAACATTCCAAGTCGAGTTTCAATACTCGCGGTGGGCACGGCACAGATAGACCATTGTATAGGTTTGTGCTTAACAACAGACAAATATACAAATGTACATTTTTTAATATCGAGAATAAGTTTGAAGAACGCTGCAAAACACTGAACATTTCTTATTAATTGTTATTAATTGAATATACTTTATCTGACAAGTTAAATCAAAGAATACAGAAACTACATGTTTTCATCAAAACACAGTCTGTTCACTTTTTTAGACAAAGGTTCATTTTACAAATTATGCTTAGATAATAAGTTTAACTTATTAAGGTCAATTTATTAAATACTGTTTAGAGAATCTTTTCTCTCTCTTTCTTGTATTTGTTTTAACGTAAAGCTACACAATAGGCTATCTGCACTTTATCCGCCATGGGGATGATTCGAACTCCGAATTTTAGCATTGTAAGTCCGTAAACTGACCGCTGACACACTGTGGGATTCATGTCTCCAACGCTTGGATAACAAGAGGTCTGAGTATATTGGTAAATCGTGCTTCTTTTGGTGATTTGGATCAAAACATTATTTCCTTTTAATTTTCTTTCAAATTTTAAATATTGAAAAGCATGTGATTTTATGTACATAAAAACGATACGAGTTAAACTAACTGACAAGAGTTTGTTTGTTTTCCGATTTTCGTCAAAGCTACACGAGGGCTATATGCGTTAGTCGTCCCTAATTGAAGTTGTTTGGGATCGAGGGTAACGGGACGCGAGCCGTGGGCCATCGGGTCCACAATCCAGTATGTTTTCGATCAGCTGCGCCCTGCCTTCTTCGAGTAGAAGTTCATAATTTCAGTAATCCCCAAACGGGGAGCCGCAAAATGTTCTCAGAAGGATTTAAGCACTTCTAGAAATACTCTTTTTAAAAATTTCTAAACATCGAACAAGACCCCGGTGGGTCAGCACTAATTCTGAGGGCATATAACGCTAAAATCTGGGTCTCAGTACCCGCGTTGTGCTTAACAATAAACAAAAAAACATTTTCAGCAATAATTTTATTTATTGTAAGAAATGTAACTAAACAATGTTACTTATAATTGAAGTTTTTTTCCCCAAAGAACAAATTACAATGAAAATATGATACGTCAGAGTCAGCAGGAAGAGGTCTTCAGCTGGAGTATCTAAGATATTCGAGGGTCTCAAGCTAAAAAAATATATGCAAACCCTGACTTATTCGTGTCACTAAATTAAAATTTCAACTTTTCCTGAATTTCTTCCCCCCGTCCCACACAAACTAGTTAGCTTTTATTTTCCAGGCTAATAGCCGCCGCTATATCTAGAGATAGGATTAGTGTAAGTAGATATTAGCAGAAAGAAAATGTAATAGAAATTCTAGCTTAGTTGAAAACATTAAGTACTTTCATTCTGCTCTCGGCTTAATGGCTACTTTCTTAATTATAGCGTCTCCCAGCAACTCATTCGTAAGCTGAAGGATTTGGAACGCTGAAATCCGGAGTTCAATTTCCCTTGGTAGACTGAGCGCAGACAGCCTATTCTGTATCTTTGCGCTAAAACATACGAACATCATTAAAGAAATATGTATCACGAATAGAAAGTTTTCAGTAGCTTTCACGGATTCTGAAATCATAAGAGCGTGATTAAAGAAATATGTTAGTCGGTATGGAAATCTTCTGTATAGCGCGTGTGTTTTTTTCTAATCAGCTCATTTACCTGGAGAGGTTTAGCAGCCACGCTACTCTGCCAATAAGACTGGTCACAGAAAACGGTACCAAAGTTTCCCACGATGTTGATGATCCCAAAGAATAAGCCACCACTGGAGAGGAAAGTTAGATAACTTCTGCCTTCGTTTCCTTCTGGACCAACAGAACACACCAGATACTGGTACATATTGTCAGAACTTCCAAACAGGTTTTCTTCATGTCCTAGGGGGTTGTAGTAGATCTAGCGCGAACAAAAATAAACACAGAAGATTAGTTTTTATAACATTTTAGTTACATTACGTTCTATTACGTTATTTTTTGTAATAGCTACACACACACACCAGCTTTAGTTAAAACGACTCTGGTTACAGATATAGTCGTTACCCGGCGAGTTAGCGGTAAGTTTACGAATTTACAAATCCGGGGTTCGATTCCGACGGTGGACAGAACGCATACAGCCCAATGTGTGGCTTTGCGTTAAAAACAAACAAACCAATAAATACAGGTTTACATTTGTAATAAATATCCAAAATTCAATTATAATCGCCCTGATTTATATTTTCGGATTGTATTCTTTCTTAGTCTTGTTATCGGTTAATAAAACTTTATTAGCAGAGGTGGAATATAATACATTTGTTTATGTTCTTCTACATCCAAAACTAAGATTCTGTTTAAAGTAGCAGAAAAAAGATATCACAAATTATATTATGTATTTTTTCTATCGATTATTTCGCGAGCGTATTTTCTTAGAACCACTCGAAAAACGAACTCAATTAAAAGAGAAGAAACATAACATAAACTACAATATCTATACAATCAGTAAAATATGATTTTATTTTACCTCCACAACCAGCATGATTAATATAATGAAGATGATCGTGGTGTTGAAGTAGGAAACATAAAACGTAGCTCCAAGCCCACCAATCAGAGTGTAGCCTCCTATGACTGCAGTTAACATCAAGACAGCAAGCTCCACGCTGAGGCCTTCAACAAGACTGTGTAGTACAGCACATCCAGCCAGCATTAGAGACGCCGTCACCACGATGTTGGTAAACCCAGCAAAGACACAGTAAGTAATGTGGGTCTTCTTCCCGTAGCGAGCCTTGATAACCTGTCGGAAGTGACGTAAACAACTGTCTTTCTAGGTTTTACTAGAATATATATAGATTTTACATGTTATCTATGAAAAACAAAATAATAAATACGTTTGTAGTAATATGGATAAAACACGTGTTTATGAAACTTCACCTGTAAAAAGGTTTTGGCTCCTGGAGCTCTCGTCTTTAGTTGGATGGATAAGATGGCGAACAGAATAACTTGGATGGTGGCTCCTGCTGCGTACCAGTAGGGTCCACTAATTCCATACTATTGGAAGAAAATGAGCAGTGAGAATCTTACAGAAGACTATACAACTAGTTTCAAAGTTTAAAAAAAAACGCGTTTGATACAGAAGTTAATTTTGTGTGAATTTACTAGCAATTATACTTCCGCTTCTTAGACATTTGCAGATTAAAGTATTTCAACATCCATTACTTCGAAATGTAGCTGTTTAAGGCGTAGATTAAACATTATTATTCATCAACAAGTTAAATAATAAGAAAATGTCAGTAAAGTTCCCAGTGGACGTAAGAAGTAATTATCAGTAATTATCAGGGTTTTCACGATACTGGAACATTCTCGAGAATATCAAACACATCCTAGATTGTTATTTAACATGTGCATTGCGGATACTAACAAAATGTAATGTTTGAAACTTGTGGAAGTTTTGAGTCTGTAATCAAATGAAGTTAGATTTACTGGATTAACCAAACCGATAAAAATATCGATTGTGTATGGTAAATATATTGATCTGTATGTCCTAAACCTAGGCCTTATTTTAAGTTCTTATTCACTTTTCATATTCTGCAAAAGAAACTTTGTCAAAAATTAACCCATGTTTACCTTACTAGCAACTGTCGAAGACTGCAGTAAGGTGGCGCTCCATGTCCATTGAGACACAATTGTAGTAGCAGTCAAACCAACTGATACCTTTCCTCCAGCATCGAAAGTGGTGTCCAAATTATCAGCGTCGTGGTAAACGTATTTTCGGACCATATGGAAAAGTGACGCAATAATAGAAGCAAAAACACCCACTGCTATGAAAATGAGCACAGCCTTGGTTAGATTCACAGTTGAATCAACACCAATTCGTATAGCTGTATTATTCCTGGCAGCAACAATATTAGGGTCACAGTCTCTAGGAAGATGGTCCATTGTTTCATTGGTGACTGATCCTGTGGTTATTGTAATACCAATATTTGTTCCAGATTCAGGAGAAAGCAATACACCAATAAGCAGGAAGATGGCTGACATCACTAACGGTTTGAAACTAAAATATGTAATTTTCAGTTTTATATCAGATCCAAGTATCAGATTTAAATCTGTACAAAGTCTGTATACCAAAATAACTTATTACCAAAAGCATAGAAAACATTAATGTTCTTCAGACAATCGAATTCTCACTTGTTATGAAAAAAAAAAATCAAATGTTGTGGCAAGGCTTACGTCGTTGTGTTTGGCTTTTTAATGATACTTCTTTCAAATACATTTAAAACAAAAAGTTCATATTTCTAGTAAAAGTGTTTTTTACCTTTTATGGAACACCCATTAAAGTACGATGTATAGATCTTTACCACTGTAAATAAAAAATAAACATTTAAAACTAAAATATTAAATATTTAACATTATGAAATTAGAGTAGGTGTTCTTTATCGAAGTAAAAAACAACAACAACAAAAAACAGTAATACAGTTTTTAATACAGAACAGTGACATAGCAACGGTGGGCCTAGGCGGGCCAAGGCCCATCCGGTCAGAGTCTGCATGATGGTTTCCGCGCCGTCTTACATATCGCTTTTTAGTTGTTGTTTCTCTAACTTGTTCATTGTAATTCCGGGCCCAGCTGCCCCCTAATGGCAAAGCTGTATGTCTGCGGACTTATAACGCTAGAAACCGGATTTCGATACTCGTGGTGGGCAGAGCACAGATAGCCCAGTGTGTAGCTTTATGCTTAACTACAAACAAACAAACCGGGCCCACCCAAAATTTCGTACCTGGCTACGCCACTGATACTGAACTCCAATCTTCTTTAAAACAGGTAAAGCTACAACCTAGATTTTGTGATGGGGTAACTATCACTTCTCTTAAAACACCCCCCTGATGGGTCATCGGTAAGTTAACGGACTTGCGACGCTAAAATCTGGAGTTCGAATTCCGCGTGATAAACAGAGCTCAGATATCCCATTGGGTAGCTTTGTGCTTAGAAAAATAGACTTAAAACATTTTTATGTTAACACCAAGTTTTCAGTTTCCAAACAGTTTAATATATTCAGTATGTTAATCGAGTGAATACTCAAAACAATAAATTTTGTTCAGAATTAGAAACGTTCACCAGACTTTCTAGTTCTAGACAGGTAAAATGATGATTTTTTCAATTCGTAAACTACCAAAAAGAATGTTTATCCTCCAATGTTAAACCTCTTTCAAATGAGACGTTTCACCAGCAATATGAACACTACAAAAGCTGGCGAAGTTAAAGAGCTATGTTCACGTACTGAAGGAATATGGCATTATTAAGTTTTCTCGGACACGTTGGGTTGTACAAGAATAACAATTGTATCTTTACGTGAACTGTTTGAATTAGATGAAAATAAATAAATTAATAACATTTTTATATCTTAAAAAGATTATCCTTTTTTTGCATAATAATATAGAAACAAAGCACCATAAAATGTTACTTTCGTTGTCTTTCGTCCATTTTGAATGTCCATTGCATGAATGTGTCTGAAACCTATGGATCAATACGTGATGTGATCTAAAGCAAGTAAAACGAGTCCTTTCTTAATTAAAACCAGTTTATTCTTTCTCGATACAACTTTGCAATACACAGAATTTCCACAGTCAATACGTTTGCAGTCTCGATAATAAAACACACACTTTATATTACCGTCACTACCACTCGCTTGACTTAATTTTCTGTCTCTATCTCTGTCTATCTGCAATCATATCTCCGCTTTATTTGTCGGGCTTATACACTAAAAAAGAGGGCGCCTAGAACAGACTAGAGTTGCCAGGAAATGTCAAGATCCTTCGAGAATCTCATGACGTGTTACCAGAGTCACTTGACTTCCGCTATCGTAACACTATGTTTAGGTTAGGTACTTTTAGGTTTTGTGGATATATAAGCTGACTGCGACTTGTGTTGTTGTTATAGGTTGCCTTATTTGTTTGTAAAATTGTAATATTTCAATATTTTCATATGACATGGGCCGGGCGTGGCATAGTGGTTAGCGTACTGGAACTGCAAATCTGAGGTTTCCTGCCTCATGACCCGTTGTTGCAAAGTCGCGCTCTGCACTTTGGGGCATCTGATGTATTGCAATTGTGACGGTCAAATCCTACTACTCATCAAACCTAGAAGTGACGTGGTTGCTGTTGACTAGCTGCCTTCTCTTCTAATCTACCAGTTCAAAATAGGGACAGTTACGCGCAAATAGCATTTCGTGTGTTGTTTTTCGCAAACATTCTGAAACAAAACACGAGAGAAACTTCTTTCGATATCATACAAATGGACAATGCTCTTCCATTAATTTTTTGATTGAAGTTTATTATCGTCGGATAATAAAATGAAATACTTATATTACGTTTTACCTTCTCCGAGGGTGCGGACTGACTTTGTGCGAAATCTGAGGATTTTCAAGTTGGCAAACCGAGTTCGAATCCGTGCGATACCACAAAATATTATCAGTACTTTAAATTGTGGGTGCGTTATAAGAGTAAGTGTGGTGGTAGGGATTCCCTCTGTTCAGTAATTAAAGATTGTGGACGGCAGTATATAGCCTTAGTAGCTTTGCCATAAATACAAATACTTTCACCGATATTTTAAAACGGTCTTCATATTCGTTTTTTCAAGATCTATTTTTTCCTTAAAGGTTACATGGAAAATCCCTACCCTTCTCTGAAAAATAAACAACAACGTTTGTTTGTTGATAAGCACACAACTCCACAGTGGGCTATCTGTGCTGTGTCCGCTACGGGTATCGAAACACAGTTTTTAATGTTATAAGCCTTCAGACTTCTCACTGAACAACTGTGAGGGCAAGAACAATACTAAATATTGTACTTACTGATGACGTAATTTGCTTGGTTAAAATCTTACGTCAGTACATATGAAAGCACACATACATACACGTATCAAACGATTATTTGAAGGTTTTAGTTGGAAAATACGCGATGCAGTTTGATTTTTTTTTCAGACTATTTCCTTTATGTGGCAAATCTCTAGACGGTGTTACTTCTGATTACTCCTCTCTGCAGCTCGATAGAAAGTTCTAGAAATATGTCAATGTTTCTTTTACTTACGTTTTACTTCAAAATAAACTCGGCTGTAAGCAAACTGTAAAGCCCACGAGTACATTTATGTAACAGATGGCAATCTCCACGACTCTCGCCTGAAGAGATAAGAACTTCCTCCTATTGCTTAAACTTACTGTTTAGAGTTGATCCTCGTTTGGAGATTATAACCAAATGTGAGCTAATGATTACAGCAACGCAATGTACGCGCCCTATTTACAGACGTTGTTATTAAACAGCTTAGAGAAATGCATATAAAACAGACGTTGCTTTTATTTCACGTAATGTAGAATGATTGACTTGGGTAAAATTTCAAACACTTGTTCAATATGCGAAAAACCATTGTTTTTATACTACGTCTATACTTGTTTTTATTATTTATAATCACCATTTGCACTTGAAATTTTAGTATTGGTGAAAGAAGACTAATTTGTGAAACAATACATTCGCTGAACAACACAGAAGATGTAACATCCTCAAATTCAATTATTGTGATGAATAAAAAGTATAGCAAGCACCTTTACACATTGCACCACGTTTGGTTTGTTTAAAAGTTCTGTAAAACGTTTAAAACATACAGAGGCAACAAAATGTTGTTGCCAGTAAATTATAGTTTGTACTGATAAATAATTATATTATAATTGTTATATATTATAATTAAATTATTATTAAAATAATTGTTAATAAAAGAACAAAGGAATACTTTCACCGTATAAAACATTCTAAAAAACTTAACTTACTTGGTAGTTCACATTCGTCAGCCTAATTCTTCCCTGCATTTGTTTCACTATGATACCTGTTTGACCTAGAGGTAGACGTTTTTGGCATAATGCCACGTGAGTCGTTTTTGTTCATTTTTTGACAGATTATTATAGGTTCTAGAAATCTTTGGCTTTGAGCATGCGTGACTTGTAACCATATTCCATAAAATCGGACAGTGATTCCGACTAAACAATTTTTTTTCTAGTTATGTTTCTGTTGTAGTAAATGAACTATAATCACTGTCTGTTTTTTTTCTATTTCCTTTTTCTGTATGTGGACATCTTAGGTAATTACCAAAAAAAAACTTACAGTATGATTGTGAATATAGTACACTGTAGTGTTTTTTCTAACTGAAATAATTGTTTGTTTGTTTGCTGCTAAGCGCACACGATGGGCTACCTGCGCTGTGCCCGCCGTGAATATCGAAACACGATTTTAGCTTTCTGCTGAGTCTTTTATTTATTTAAACCCGACAATAATTTAGTTTGAATGCACAATAAGGAGAATTGCGGGCTCTTCCCAACTTGGATGTTCAGGAACAATCGTTCCTCTTTGCACCGCACGTGTATTTAATTTTGGACTAAAACAGAATGTTATTTCGAATTCAGTGGGAGTATGTTTTAATTGAACGAATGGGATTGGTCAGTCAGTGAAGGCCTGTAGTTTTAGAATTTGACGAGGGGAATGGGGGTGGGGGTGCTGTAGTTATGCGACCGAGGCAAACCAGTTCAGCGAGTACTCTTCTTTTGGGATGATTTAAGTAGTTGGATTTATTATATCAACTCTGGTAATTTTTATTATTGTTTTTTTTTAGTGATGTATATAGATAGCGACATCTATATTTTAGAATGAGAGAAAATATAAATAGTGACATATAAATCAATATATATATATATATATAAGTCTATAACAGGATATTTAAGTAATCAACTCAAAAGACAAACGGCCATTTTCGAGGGGAGGGACCTGTAGGTCCAATGCTCTTGTGAATTTTGATGTGGGGGAAACCGGAGTACCCACTTTCACAGGACAGGCGCCCAATACTGCTGAGTCACTGGAAGAGGGGGGGGGTCTTCTGAAAATAATAGTTTTGATTTATCTTAGGATATTCGTGCAAATCTCCACTAAGGCTGTCTGCGTTACCCGTTTGTTAATTTCTAATTGACCGGCTAGAGGGAAGAAAGTTTATCAATGGCATCGATTGCCAGCTCTTGGGATACTCTAATTTAATAGTGGGATTTGACTGTCGCTTTTATAACGCACCCAAGATCCCAAAATGCGGAGTGTGATTTTTTTTGTGGCATCAGGACGCCAGGTTTTGAGCAAAGATTTCACGGTCCAGCAAACTAACCTTTTGGCCACTCCCGGCCCAAAAGAAATAAATGTCAGTGTGTCCTTTATGGTTGGAACAACGGTCAACAAACACTTGTTTAATTTTCAAAGATACGCCTACATGAGCATACTCGCCCCTAATTTTGAACTGATAGACTAGAGAAGTTAATCAATATTACCTACCGCCAATGTTTGGGCTACTCTCGTCTCACCGAATAATAGGATTTAACCATTACTCTTATAGTGTACCTAAAACCTGTAAGTTCGAAAAGCGTTTCTGAGGCAAAGGGCCGCGAACCACGAACACTGATTGACGGTTCGAGCACGGTAACCATTAGGCCATGCCCAAGAAGAAACAAATTATCGAGGTTTCATCATGTTTGCCGCCCAGTAGCTAAGCGGTATGTCTGCGGACTACCAACGCTAGAATCCGGGTTTCGATACCCGTGGTGGGTAGACAACCCATTGTGTAACAAACAAATCCCCATCTTTTTCTTTTGCTGAAGAAGCACGAAACAAAATTTCTGTAGAATTTATTTTAAAGATCCAATCTACCTGTTTGGGCACGTCATTGCTAAGTATGACGGACTATGAATTCGAGGATTCATGGTTCGTGACCTTTTGACACAAAAAACCCTCTCTGCACTTCGGGGTATTGGATGCTCTATAAGAATAATGTTTAGATCTCATTATTCGATCACACAAGAGTAGCCAAAGAGCGTGTGGCGGGTTCTGCTAACTAAATGACTTTCCTCTATTCTGTCATTTAAAACTATGCTATTTGCAGATAGTCCTTGTACAGAGAGTCTACATAATTCTAAAAGGAATAAATATTCTACTACTTCTTATGGGCAGCGGTTGTATTTTCACTGCTGAAGAATTATACTGTAGATACGAATTCTTGCAAAACGCCCCCAGCGGCAACAACCAAAACCAATCTTGCAAACCTTAGCAATATATACTGGTATATGGTTTTAAGTCTTAACAGTTGGTTCTTTAGTAGTTCTCTAGAATTATGAATTACAGGTGCAATAGACTACTTCTACTTCTTAACCTTTTCATAACTGCACGTGACTTGTGTTTCATAAAGAAATCTCAATCAAGCTTAATATTCCTATAGATGGCGTATCGTACCATATGTAAATCACCAATCAAATTATTTGTCAAAACATTCTTCTTCTACTTTGGCATTGTGAAGTGAGAATTTATCATTCTGTCAGACAACTGTGTAGAACAGAGTTACATTAGTTTCGTGTCTTTTGGAAAAAGATGTTTTGGAAATCCTATTCAGGGTAGGTTATATCACCTAAAATATTATTGAAGTATGTCTTGAACAGTGTTTTTGTTGTCATATTATGTACAATATAATGTTTTGGTTAATTCGTTGATTTTCGTAGATGATTCAGACATGTTCTTCTCCTTCCGGGAAATAAAGTTCCCTATATATCTTTATAATTCGCAAACATCTTATAAAAAGCACTTTGCTGGTTATGTATTTTTCTACCCTGTTTATTAGAGCGTTCCTACCTTGACTTGTTCTATTTTATCTCGTAAACCTATATCCTCAAGTATAGGATGTCATGTGTACTGCCATAAAAACGCTATTGTGTCTAAATTTCTGATTTTGATAATTAAAAAAAACTTGCAATTTCGGTGGCGACATTGTTTGTACGCTTGCAAAGGAAAAGATATTTCTAGGCTTTCTAACATAGCAACTAAATTTATCATTTGGATTTCACTCGTTTTGCGGGGATATAGTTGAAAATATGAAATATATTTGCACATATTGTATATCACAACTCATACCAAGTACTGCAGTTTCAAGATATATCATTTCTCATCAGCTCGACGAAAGATAATGTTATTCATGTTAGTTTTATAAATGTTTTCAGATATTAGAAGCAGGTTGATGAGGATTTTAAAACAGGAGAGCTGCCAACTGTGGGAATGGTGTTGGCAGGACATAAAACACCAGTTTGACTGTGGATGCTGAAAAGAGACTGTACAAATCAATGCCAAAAGATATATTATTGAATTTAAATTGCTTTACTTGGGAGATGGTAAAATTACGCAGAATGTTGTTAAGTCAGTTGATTATATATACGTGGGCCCAGTCTTTGTACTATAGTTAGTTTGTTTGTTTAAAGTTAAGCACAAAGCTACATAATGGGCTATCTGTTCTTTGCCCACCACGGGTGTCGAAACCCGGTTTCTAGCCTTGTAAGTCCGCAGACATACCGCTATGCCACTGGGGGCACTATAATTAGTTATTGTTTGTTTGTTTGTAATTAAGTACAAAGCTACACAATGGGTTATATGTGCTCTGCCCACCACGGGTATCAAAACCCGGATTCTAGCGTTCTAAGTCCGCAGACATACCGCTGTGCAACTGGGGAGCATATTTAGTTATAGAAACCTTGTTCAATGTAAGATCCAGGAGAAGCTAACCTAGAAAACGGGCAGAACAAGATGTAATGTTAAGGGCTTTCCTATGAACAACCATATAAAATAGGCTTGAAATCATAAGTTTACGTAAGCTTCTTTCTGTCCTACACTTTCTCTCAGTAACCAATTTTTTTATGTTTAAACAAGCTTTTGTTTCCACGAAGAAAAAGCGAGCTGCATTTTAGTTTATTCTTTTTTATGCTTCTAGTTTAATGCAAGGAACCTAAGCATCCTTATCATAATTGTCACATCGTCAGCAGTCAAACAGAAATAAAGTACTTATCACAAGAGGCCTGCAGGTATCTGCCAACTCTTCAAGCTTGGTTTCCTCTGTTAACAATTTGTCTTTTTTAAAACAGGAATTCCAGGCAATTAACTGTACAAATAAACCATACATCCTATAAATCACAAGGATTACAGCGCACACTTCACTGGTTGATAATGGACATATGTTATACAATATTTGTTTAAAGATAAAACATAACTATATGCTTGTAAAGCAATCTTCTGATTCGCTGTCAGGCCTTTCTGACGGCGCTTTTACGATGTGATTACCATGATGCTACTAAACGATATACAGTACTCTTATATTTATACGGCAGCTAGCCCGACCTGATGTATAAATTCATTTGAGGTTTTATAATGTTCAGAGAAATACAGAATTTTATTTGAATATTACTGTTTCGAAGCATTTACTATGATTGACGCATATTCTAAAACGCGTTCTAACCTCTCAATCTCTTTCTCTTTAAACAAACTATTAATATTTTTTACAATATATAAAACTAAGTGAAAATATATTCTTAGATAATATGAATATGTCAAATTGTACATATATATTCATATTAATTCTATCTTTCAAGTTTAAAAGACGATTTAATTATTCAACTCGAGTTTTATGTGGATGAGTGAACTTGCCAATCACGCTAACTTCAATTAGAAACTCCATTTTTTGTTTTAATTTCTGTATTTGTTATTTCTATAATAGGAGGCAGGAAAACAAAGGTTTGCTCACTGTTACCTCCTCATTTATTGTAATATTTGGGAGTTTACTGAATCCGTCAGTTTTGGGAAGAGAGCAGCAAAACTACTCCCACCCACGGAGCAGTACAGAAAGTATTTTGAACGTAACAAATATTACCATGCTACGAAACTGTAATACTTCTATTCTATACCATAGAAAAAATATCACAATGGTAGTAGGTGTTGATCCGACTGTTGAGCTACATATAAGCATTATTATTTTCGTTGGAGTTGGAGCATTTGCTGCCTTAATTGCTTTCGGATTTCACATGGTCCGAAAGTATGTTTACCACGACGCAGATAATCTGGACACCACTTTTGATGCTGGAGGGAAGGTATCAATTGGACTGACCGCTACTACAATTGTGTCTCAGTGGACATGGAGCACCACTTTACTGCAGTCTTCCACAGTTGCTAGTAAGGTAAACATGGGTTAATTTTTGACAAAGTTTCTTTTGCAGAATATGAAAAGTGAATAAGAACTTAAAATAAGGCCTAGGTTTAGGACATATAGATCAATATATTTACCATTTTACCAAGGTAAAAGAGTGACAACGATTAGAATGGTGTTTATGAGTTTTGTAGCTTTTATTTTCATCACGAAGGAACATATATAATGAAAGTATACACATATATATATACACACACACCAGGAACCAAATATATATATTTTGCTCATGGAAATGATTGATGAAATTAAACAAAATAAAAATTGTTATAATATTTTTTATAACATTTTAAACAAATAAATAAAATCACACATACATAAATACAGGTTTCGTACCTTCAAGAATACTCTTTGATTTCCAAAGTAAGGAACTTTTTAATAAGACAGACCTACATAAGAATGGAAAACGTCTTGCTTTTGTTTGTGCCTTAAAGCTTTATACATGTATTAAACTATATTTTTAATGTAGATTTAAATTTATTGATAAGATAATTTCCATATATTGTTAACCACAAAGCTACACAATAGGTTATTTATGCTCTGCCCACAGCGCTATCGAAACTCAAATTTCGGTGTGAGAAGCCCAAGACTTACCGCTGAGCCACCAGGAGGTAATGATTTCCATAACGTAATCTTTTTTTTTCCACTGGAATACCGAAATAGAAATATTTAAAAAGTATGATATGTAAGGTATGATATTTTCCCACAATATACTTATTAATGTGTTTGTTAACGGGTAATGGACAAGTATTTGATTTGTGACATGAGATTTGTGTAAATTTATTCTTAAACGTAAGTTTTCTGTTTCTACACAGTATATTTGTTTACAACATGTACACAATAATACATAAATAATATAATATGAATTACAGCCACATCTAGAGTTTATAAACAATATTTTCTCCCCAGTAGGTTTGTTTGTTTTGAATTTCTCGCAAAGCTACACGAGGGCTATCTGCGCTTGCCGTGCCTAATTTAACAGTGTAAGACTAGAGGGAAGGCAGCTAGTCATCATCACCCACTGCCAACTCTTGGGCTACTCTTTTACCAACTAATAGTGAGATTGATCATCACGTTATAACGCCCCCACGAGCATGTTTGGTGTGACGGGGATTCGAACCCTCGACTCGCAATTTGCGCATTTGCGAGTCGCGCTCCCTAACCACCTGGCCATGCCGAGTCCTCCCCAGTAGGATGTGTAACATATTTACTGTATGTTTGTTTGTTTTGAATTTCTCGCAAAGCTACACAAGGGTTATCTGCGCTAGCCGTCCCTAATTTAGCAGTGTAAGACTAGAGGGAAGGCAGCTAGTCATCACCACCCACCGCCAACTCTTTGGCTACTCTTTTGCTAACGAATAGTGGGATTGGCCGTCACATTATAACGCCCCCACAACTGAAAGGGTGAGTATGTTTGGTGTGACGGGGATTCGAACCCGCGACTCTCAGATTGGGAGTCGAGTGCCCTAACCACCTGGCTATGCCGGGCCTTTACTGTATGTAATATAACATTTCCCAGAAATACAACAATTTGGTTTATTACAGGGAAATATACCTTCATCAAATTTCTTTGCTTTATTTTCTTGATTTAAGATAGTATAAAATTTTGGGCTGTCTTCGTAATAATATGATTTTTTTTTTCAGACGTGGCTCTTAAATTTGTATCCGAAATTTTTTACAATTCTTCTTGGATAGTATTAATACTCATTTTAACTAGAGGACAATGGGTTTATAAAGGAACTAATATGTTGTTCTATTATATTATCTTTTGGATTATTGGATTATTCTTTCTAATATTAATTACGTTAAAACCTCTATCTGTTAAATTTTCTGAATAATGACACTTTCTAAAGTAAGATTTTATTTCGGTCAGTTTTTGTTGTTGAACTTTTCCGGGTCGAAAGTCATAGAAAAAAATCCTTGAGCTAAACAAAATGAAATATTTAACTTAGTATGTATAAAATTCAAAGAATTCTTTGGAAGCTCTAATTGAATATCTAGAAGAAAATGTGTCGTGTTTCCTTGAATATTGCTAATTCCAACAGGAAATGTTAGTCAAAATAATGGAAACTATGAAAAATAATACTTATGTATCTGATACGACTATTGAAGATATCTTTTACGAAAATGGAAAATACGTAAAGGAAAGCTTCAATGAAAGAAACTAATTAGAAATTAGAAAATTAAGCTAGATTTTGATTGAAGGTCTCCAAGAAGAACCAACTTTCTTACCACATAAATTTAAACAATATATAAATATTTTGCTATTGAAGGATGAATGGAATATTCGTCAAAGTCTAAAAGTAGAAACTACCAGACTTGAAGCTCTACAATCAAGAACAGAGAATCAGTTGGTTAAGTATACAAAAACAGATTATTCAGCATCTAAATGAATCTCTAGTTAAATCCTTTATGGATCTTTGTAACGAAGAATAGAAAAATAGTGGAATATTTCGAAGAAAGAACAAAGTTTGGTTCCATAAACAAATAAATCTAGATAGGAAAGATCCATAAAGACGAAAAGAGTTTTGGGGAAGAAAACAGAAGGAATAGAAATACTAACAAGTTGAGAAAACACGAGAAAAAAGACATCTCAGATTTTGGAAAGTATTAATAAAATGAAAGAAGATAGAAAGTTAATACAAGAAGAAGAAAAAGAAACACAGACGAAAAGGATGGGTAAATAAGTATTAAAAGAGAAGGTAATGAAAGAAACATATATATCCCCCCCCCAGTAAAGACCTTGAAAGTGTTGAATTTGAGTTCATAATCTTTGTCAGAAGAGGAAATTTAACTTTTAAAGAAAGGGATTACATTTGCCCCAAATAATAAACCAAATAACACTGAATTTAAAGAAGATATACATGAATTTATCAGGAAATTAAGATTAACAGAATTTTTGAAGAACAATAATGATAATTATTAAAACAAATAATTATTATTATTATTAAAACAAATAAAAACAATTATTATTATTAAAACAAATAAAAGTAATTTTGTACCCCCAAAAGGAAAAAATTCTAGAATGTGATATAATTTGTAGTCTTTTAGAAAATGTGTATTATAAAACTTCTTTACAGTTAAAGGTAATATTTCAATAAAAAAAAGAAATGCATTAAAAACTTTAAAATATAGAAGACATTTTGATTCAAAGAAGGGATAAAGTTTTTATCGTGTATCAAGAGTGTTATAACAATAGGGTTTTAGAACACTTAATAATAAAAAATATTAACATGCGTTCTGAAAAAAATAGACCAAAATTGGTTAATAAAGTAAAAAA